GATGATAATCCTCTCAGATGCAGTATGCTGGCTGCCCTTCATAACCTATGCTTTTCTTCACTACACCGAGGTTGAAAATGCAGAGAAGCACTACCTTTTCTTCTCCGTCATCCTTCTACCTGTAAACTCAGTTGTCAACCCAATCATCTACCACTACAACCATTCACACGTCAAACAGAAGGGCAGGGAGGTCTTGGCGAGGGTTCGTTCCACTTCCAGTGATTGTTATTTGGGCTCTGTTTTTTTCCTATCTGAACTTCTCGCCAGCACCGTAACTTTATTATCAAGATATGACATCCGATCCATGATCCAACCGATTCTAAATAGAGTTAATCCTCAGTTGGTCTCAACCGTAGTGAGATATAATGTTGAGAACTCTCAAGTTGAAATCGAAGACACTGACAATTGACATGAAGGAGGACTCTCTCGTTGAAATCGAATATGATTGATGATCATGCTTATGCTACCGGTTTACGATTTTGTTATCAAATATCATAGGTACAAAGTAACGATTACAGAATCCAGAAATCGAATTTTGCAACATACAAAACCAGAAAGGTTGTCGAGAATAACAATTATTGTTTCAAGACTGTTTTGGTAGGTAGTATAATATAATTTTTACAGAATTGTAATCAGCTTGATAAAACGAATCTTTTAATACCAAATAGATGATTTTAGAGGAAACATTTTCTAACCCGAACACTGCACAGGGGTCCCCCTTGTATAAATTTTGTACACATTGTACACAATGACAAACTTTGTGTCTTTAAGTATTATAAATTTGGAGCTAAAAGTTTTGTCTCATCAAGCTGATTACAATTCTGTAAAAATTATTTCAAAAAGACTGACACTTTTTGACTTATAGGCATTTTAAGTCTTAAATCTGCCATTTTTGGTCCTTTTTTACGTTTTTTGAACATTTAAAATATAATTTGGAACATTACGGTAACGTAATTCAAATCTCAAACAGAAAAAAGTATATTTCAAAGCTTTGTGTTTTGATCATATGTTCATGGGTGTATAGTGATTTTGATTGCATAAATTTGATTGGGCAGTGATGGTGAGTGAGAAAATGATGGGAGTGCCAGCCATATCACAGCTATAAGTATAATATTAAATATAGTATGCAATTTCTGTTGGGAAAAAAATGTATTCACTATAAATGTTGCCAATATATTGGCAGTTGGGACAGTGCTAATCACAAAATTTATGAACATTCTGCCTTATCCATGCACTACATTATATTGAGCACAAAAATATCTAGTTTAATTTTGAAACTTTTAGACTTGGGATCGTAAAGAGAACAAAACCAATTTTATTAGACAGAGAAGAGTCAAGATTTTGTTCAAAATTCAAAACTTTGGAGGCTTAATGTTTAAAATAGAATGGATATAAAACGGTAATTTGTAAATTTTGAGATTTCTTTATTTACCTCACGGCTCACACAGTGCATCTTAACAATTTTGTAATTTATACTTACAACCTGGATCATTCGATACATTTGGTCGTGTTTACAAATTAAGCTGGTATGTAGAAAAGATAATATTATGCTTTATATTATATACTTTTAGTGTTATCGTCACTACTTTAAAGAGATTTCTTAGCGTTATCGATTTAAAGTAATGGGACACAGCGGTTTTAAGACTGCATTAGTGCATTTTTGTTTGATAAGTAGTTCTAGTCACTGCTTATCAGCTTTACTAAAGTGTTAAGTTTGTTTCATACTATACTATAATTTTCCGAGTGGACTTGTACCCCATCCATAATTACTTACTTGTTTGGAAAAGAGAGACACTGGCAGCGGTTCACTCTACCCATGATTATGGGTTTTGGTCAAATAATAATATCGTAAATATATATATTTGATTTTGGAATTGGGTATATTTCGCTAGTCAGCACTAACCATACCAGCGCTAGCTATCGATTTATAATAGCTGTCCATTAATAGTATTGCAAATATTTTATTTTGATATATTGCGCTGGCGCTGGTCAGCGCTAGCCAGCGCTAGCTGACCATTATATGTAAGATACACGGCCCACCTATTTTTCTCCTGTTCCAGTCGAAGTTGCAAGGCTGTGATTACGTACACTCCTCTTACACTCTCTTTGAATATTGACGGGGAAATTCAAAGATGGTGAGCGGAGGTGTTACAAAGTAATTTAGATTAAACTGGGAACGCATTGACGTGACACCTCTCACCGACACACGTCAAAAGATAACAATGAACTCATTAAAAGCCCATCAACGATGGAGTATATAAATCATACCAGAACATTGGACATTCTTTCTCACTCCTTCAAAGGTTGGACTCCCTCTACTCCAGGACTCACTCTCTCCCTCTCTCACTCTCTCCTGCTGCTGGACCTGGAACCTCTCACTGGACACGACAGCGGACAAAGTACTTTCTCTCGACTTCTGACTAGGCCTACAGTCAATCTAGATGCAGACTACCCTGGATCTCCGCCATCCAGTCCTCACTGAAACCTCTCCACCTAACGGATCTCCTTTCCTATCCCGGGTCAGTTCCCTTGGTCAATAGTTACAATATATTATTATTTTAAAACCTAATACCGGAAATTCTGCCGGCCTAATTATGTGACTCTATCATTTGTTGAGTTATAGACTGCTAAAAGTAATATAAGTACCGTGGCATTAGCCTCTACTAAAAGTTCTCCAGACTTGAGTCAGATGAATTAAGGAATAACAACAACTAATCTAAAGTACAGCCGGTTGCACCGGACCCTAAAATTGTGATTGAAAGTAATCTAACTCTATAAGCTCTCTTTGATATAAAGTGTCACCTATTTGGCGGGGACTTACCGAACCTTGTGACATTATGTTACGTCACCACTCTTCCACTCTGACTACATGTTGCCGGCTTCGGCCGTAAGTATGCTTACTAATGCTAACCAGGCGTAGTCAGATTCATGATTAGATGGAGCCTTTATATAAATTGTGTAAGATGTGATGACTAACACTGCGAGATAATACCAACTGTCGGCTCTTTCTTGAACCGACTTTTGGGTCTTACATTATATTAATATCACAAATAATAATATATAAATATTTAATTTTTGTATATTGCGCTGACGGTTAATATCGCAAATATTTGATTTTGATGTATTATATTGGCATTTGGCATTGCGCTGGCCAGCGCTAGCTGACGATTGATATCGTAAATATTTGATTTTTATATTTTGCGCTGGCCAGCGCTAGCTGACGAGTAATATCGCAAATATTTGATTTTGAGTTATTGTTGTCGCCATCCAGCGCTAGTTGTCGCCATCCAGCGCTAGTTGTCGCAATCCAGCGCTAGTTGCCGCCATCCAGCGCTAGTTGTCGCGTTTTGACTATCGCAAAAGAACCCAAATTTCATTAACTCAGGCTCAACCTTTTGTCTTATCGTAAACAATGCAATTTTAAATAAACATAACACATAACATTTTGTTCATATACTATGAAATACTTGGATTGTCTTGATAAAGTCAATAAATTGTCTCAATGACTCACTATAATCTAAAATAAACCCCTTAGAATTATATTCTTCTATATTTAAAGCAGGGTGGATATGAATTATTTATTATAATTAATTAATAATTAATAATAAATTATAGTTAATTATTATAAGATTATAGCAACCTTCAATTTTCTGACTATTCCCTCGCAACGGCAGACGAAACTAATTACCGATTACCCTAATTAGTGGTAGTCTGTCTCAGTTTAGCTCCAAAGTATACATGCCAGTAATGATTAATCAGTGTCACGAGGTGGTCGAGCACTCGGACACGGAATTTAAATCCTGTCAATATTAAGAATATTACTGAAAATATGTGTTTCTCTGTCTAGTGTATATGTTCCCGTCCGGCTATATGAGATTTATATAAGTTTCTCCGCTTTTTAATATCCTCAATTATACTGAACGCCATGAATTTAATGAACTTTCAGCTAGTAGTTAAAATACTCGAAAAGCTGAACTCAGGTAAAATTTGGGGAACCCTGAGAATCTAATATCAACATAATGTGTAGAATTTAGGGAAATGCTGCAAATTTGATAACTTTGATATCTTATACTCTAATAGTTACAATACCCTTTTTTAAAAAAAAGATTTTGACAATTGCTGAATATTACATTTTGTCTAATGACGAAAGTTAAACTCAGGCTAAATTTAACAGCAGACAACACTTTAGCTGAATACATTAGCGGTTACTCCGAACACTTTACCAACACCCTACATTACCATGGCAAATATCCCCAAAACTCCCGAAAGTGCCCGTTTCAGTTCCTCTAAAATATGTGATCTCATATCTGGTCCAGGTTTCTCACATCTTTTCGGAGACTTCTTTTTTAGCTGCTTCTTGTCCGTTTCAGTCTTGGTTGGAGTCAATCAGTAAAAAGTTCACGACATCACGAGGGATTTTAGACTACATAAATATAATAATATGTATTATGACTGTGATGATTATTTCTTGCTAACGATCATATTATTATCTTGGTCAGTCAAGTTTACGTTACTCCCTTATCCTTGATTCCCAACATTATTAAAAAGGCTGACCCAACTCACAACTGCTCAGTTCTTTCTGAACATTTCAACGTAACACTAAAATACGAGCAATTTGTTGTAAGACATTTATCTTTTAGTCATAGCTTGAATATGTAACGACTTGAATGAGGAGTAATTATAATCATTCAAAATTAGGGGCAAAACCAATTTCACAAACCAATGAACTGTCGAAATATTAGTAACATAATATTAAGCTATACTCATAATAATTAACCTATAAATAATTACAACGATAAGCTGATAATCAACTAAAAGCACACGACGTATTCTATTTATATAATTGTATTTATAATTGTATTGATGCATTATGTTATATATTTTGAAATTTTTTTCCAATAAAAAAACAACAAAAAGGACGCTAACCTGATTAAGAATTAATTTAAACGATAATAAAGTAATAAGCAGTATTATAAGCTGATTATCAACTAAAAGCTAACCTGATTAAGAAGGAATGATCTAGAAGTATTGTCTAGGTCTGAGAGTATCTTATCCAACATTAGGGTACCATTAGTTCCGGGGGATATATTAAGAAGTGGTGCCGGGAAGCTGCCCTCAGGGGACCCACCCTCCCTCAGATTACCCACGTAACTCGGACCTGGGACGTAGCATGTTTTAGCATGTTTTAGCATGTTTTCATAATGTGTTTTAGTATGTTTAAGTATGTTCTAGTATGTTTTAGCATGTTTTAGCATGTTTGAGCATGTTTTAGCATGATTTAGCATGTTATAGTATGTTTTAGCATCTTCTAGCATGTTCTAGCATGTTTTAATATGTTTTACCATTTTTTGGGAGGGTTTAGCATGTTATTTTACCACTCAATTAAGTAATTAATCAAGTATTGTTCTTATTCTAACACTTACCCGCAGTGTAGAAGTTACAGAGGTCCCCTGAAGCTATAGTGCCATCAAACAGCATGAAGTTGCCCAGATTCCAGGATATGGTTGGGGGCCCTTCTTTGGGGGCCATGCCAAACGTTAGGGCTCCTCCTTCACCAATCAGAGGGTAATCTGAAGGTGGGCACAGTTTTATATTAGGTTATAGAGGTTAACTTAATATTACATTATAAGGCTGTAAGAAAAAATGAGACTGTGTGAAGAGGAATTTGTAAAACTGATAATTTGGTCGAACATTGGGTAAATTAACAAATTTTCGAGAATAGATTACCAATTTTGAGGTTGGTTTTCCAGTCTATGTCAATAGAGATATCGACACAACTGGATCTTATCTTGGTCCCTTTGTAGAATGTAGCTGTGAGCATGTGCCAACCCCCGTCATCCTGCGGTCAAAGCATTACTAAAGAGTTACTAAGGTGTTACTAAGGAGTTACTAGAGAGTTGCTAGGGAGTAACTAGGGAGTTACTAGAGAGTTACTAGGGAGTTACTAAGGAGTTCTGAGAAGTTACTAAGGTGTTACTAAGGAGTTACTAAGGAGCTACCAAGAAGTTACTAAGGTGTTACTAAGGAGTTTTTAAGGAGTTAATAGGGTGTTATTAAGGTGTTACTAGAGAGTTACTACTTTACTAGAGAGTTGCTAGGGAGTAACTAGGGAGTTACTAAGGAGTAACAAGGGAGTTACCAAAGTACCAAGGAGTTGCTAAGGAGTTACTAAGAAGTTACTAGGGAGTTACTGAGGTGTTACTAAGGAGTTACTAAGGTGTTACTAAGGTGTTACCAAGGTGTTACTAAGGTGTTACTAAGGAGTTATTAAGGTGTTTCCAAGGTGTTACTAAGGAGTTACTAATGATTTACTAAGGAGTTACTAAGGAGTTACTAAGGTTACCTTTACAAGAGGAGCATCCTGAGACTGCATGCTCTCCGGAGTAGCTACATTCAGTTTAGAAGGAAGAAGGGTTATCTTAACATTAACGTTATGGAGCAGAGTCGCCTGGGAGAGTGTGTGGGGTTAGGAACACAATTTCAAATATACAATATACTTTACTATATTATATATATACTAGAAAGCCCGTGATCACGGGGAGGAAGGTTATAGTATTCTTTGGTAGTCAGTTTTTATAGCATCAAAAAATATCCGTCACAGCCGAGTAAACAGCCCATTAAAATGTAGCTCGCACTGAACACAACATAATTACCACAAAACCGATCAAAATGAAGTTAAAACAATCATTGCACGGGCACGTGCGTGTAACAACTCTCGTTACCATGGTTACTATGCAAATTCCTATTTCTCGTCTAATTTGCACGTGGGCGGTCGTACATAAATAATTCTCTGAATTATATATATATATATATTATATAAATTTAAATATACATTATACATATTATACTTCATATTATTACTGTTGCTAGTTAAAAGGAACTTTACCTGCCAGAAGGTAGCGTTTGTCTGTATACGAGGTATCTGGTACCAGAGTAGCAGAGTAAAGCTGGACTGAATCACTTTGTCTGAGCCAGTACTGCCCTTATAAGGAGATCACGTGTTAATTTTACATTTAAACTCTGTTTGGGGGGAGGGGTCCAACCTCATTTAGTCCATATCCATTTGACCAACAAATGTGCCGGTCTTGGACAAAATGGGGTTTGACCTCCCCCCCCCCCCCCCCAAACACTGTTATGAATAATCATCGCAAGTTCAGTCTCTGCACGATCACTAAACATATTATCAATAGCGAGGTGTGCTCCTTCATAAACTAACCGGTTTGATGAGATAGGGTATGATGAGTCCAGGAGCGGGGGAGTTCTTAGGAATGTTGATGTACGGGACACTCTCTAGGTTACCATGTACTGGTGTAGATACTGATACCTGAGGAGTTACTATTTAGGTTACTATTTTAGGTCTCCTGATACCAGGAATGATACCTGACGAGTTACAATTTAGGTTACTGTTTCCTATTTTCGGTCTCCAGATTGCAGTGAAATTCTACCTGAGGAGAATTTATCAAAGAGTCAAAGGAAGGGTTGACACTGTATAACTATTAACTGTATAACTATAAAACCAGATATTTTCGCGGCCACCTGCACCCATCTTCGCCTTCTTAAAAAATGGATAATCGTCACAAGTAGGACCATTTAACTAAATGAGAGAAAGTCTCGGGAATGCTTTTCCCCAAAAGTCGTTAAAAAACTACTTCCTCGCGTAAATTAATAGTTTAACTCATGTTCCACGTTAAATGGATTGCTGCTCACGTGATTAGTCTGCTAAAATTTATTAAATTAATAGTTTTTAAACTATTTTAACTTAATTAACTTAATCTTAACTTAATTAATAGTTTAATTCTTAACAATTTATGGGTTAATGTATGAGTATGATAATCTATATTATTTGAAATAATTTATTTCAATATATCTACCAAGAGTCGAGTACTTCATCGAACAGTACTGGGAAGATCATACATACTAAGATACTACATACCAGTAGTTCTATGTGGTGTTTTGGGAGGGATTTAACGTTGAATTCTTCTCTAACTTCCCACTTCTCAGATCCCTCTTCATCAGATCCCCCCTGATCGTAGGTCTCCTCTACCCGGCCTGATGGGAGTAGAGTGGTAAATAGGGTGGTAACTAGAGTGGTAACTAGGGTGGTAACTAGGGTGGTAACTATGCCCTAGGGTGGTAACTAGGGTGGTAACAAGGGTGGTAACAAGGGTGGTAACTAGGGTGGTAACTAGGGTGGTAACAAGGGTGGTAACTAGGCCCTAGGGTGGTAACTAGGGTGGTAACTAGGGTGGTTACTAGGGTGGTAACTAGGCCCTAGGGTGGTAACTAGGGTGGTAACTAGGGTGGTAACTAGGGTGGTAACTAGGGTGGTAACAAGGGTGGTAACTAGGGTGGTAACTAGGGTGGTTACTAGGGTGGTAACAAGGGTGGTAACTAGTGTGGTAACTAGGGTGATAACTAGGCCCTAGGGTGGTAACTAGGGTGGTAACTAGGGTGGTAACTAGGGTGGTAACTAGGGTGGTAACTAGACCCTAGGGTGGTAACTAGGGTGGTAACTAGGGTGGTAACTAGGGTGGTAACTAGAGTGGTAACTAGGCCCTAGGGTGATAACTAGGGTGGTAAATAGGGTGGTAACTAGGGTGGTAACTAGGGTGGCAACTAGGGTGGCAACTAGGGTGGTAACCCAGTGTGGTAATTAACTACACAGGTAATGGTTCACAAATAGAGTATTATCTTTTTATACTAGATAAAACCACATACTATACGTTGAAAAGTGTGGAGTTACTCATAGTTGTAACAAATCTAACATATTAAAGTAGTCTGCTAAGTAACAAAAGCAGGTAACAGTACCTTGTGGACCAGAGAAACTAATAGCCTACAAGGGTGGTAACTAGGGTGGTAACAAGGGTGGTAACTAGGGTGGTAACTAGGGTGGTAAGTGGTAACTAGGGTGGTAACTAGGGTGGTAACAAGGGTGGTAACTAGGGTGGTAACAAGGGTGGTAACTAGGGTGGTAAGGAAGCAGTACCTTGTGGACCAGAGAAACTAATAGCCTACAAGGGTGGTAACTAGGGTGGTAACTAGGGTGGTAACAAGGGTGGTAACTAGGGTGGTAACTAGGGTGGTAAGTGGTAACTAGGGTGGTAACTAGGGTGGTAAGTGGTAACTAGGGTGGTAACAAGGGTGGTAACTAGGGTGGTAAGGAAACAGTACCTTGTGGACCAGAGAAACTAATAGCCATCTCTGTTTTGAGCCTCTCAATCTCCTCCACACTGATAATAACAGGAGCTCCACCAGCTCCACTACTCTCTTCATACAGCGGCTCTTCGTTACCCTGCGTCTCATCACCTCCATATATGGGCATGTTGTCACGTTGGCTCTCGTCGTGCCCATATATGGGCATGCTGTCAGGATTCTCACAGTTCAATGAAGGTGTAACTGAGAGAGTAGAAGATTGATAAAAGGTTAAGTATGTTTAATAGAGTTAGGGTTAGTCTAAATTGTTTAAATTGGGTTCAGTTGTCCGGTAGCCTAATAATTCAATGTGGTCCTAGAGAATATTGACATAACCTTAACGAATAACGATACAACGCTTGTTCTAAGTTCTTAATCCAATCAAGTGTTCTGCAAACTGCATTATATTACATTAATCTAATAACAGATAATTCTAATAAGTAGGCCTAACTAGTAACTATACTGCACACAGCGCAGAATTATAACTATATTATACGAATTATGCTTATAATATTGGGTGGTGGAATCTTATTGTATCAGAAATATTTCAGTTATAATCTAATTGGTATTTTGTATTCATGCTCTGATATTGTTAGCTTGGACAATATATTATTCTGTGTTACTGTCATGGCTTTTCTTCGGTCATGATTCGAGTGAGCAGAATCAGTGTATAAACAAAGAAGATTTTTCTCTTAGGTTTAATAAATGAACAATTTTATGGACAAAATTTTTAACATTTTTCTGCGATTTGGAAAATCGCAACTATTTGACCCTCAATCTCAATGATATTATAATGTTTATTTTTTCTGAGTTAGGATAAAATGATGTTGAATTAAATAGACAAATTGTATGTACTAGTGTGATGTGCGTATTATTTTGCATTTGAGAACGGTAATTTAATTGGTATCATTTCTTTTGTTTGGAAAATGTGACACTGGCCACGGTCCACTCTGTCCAATTTTGTTTTTTTTACAATCCTCATATTTTGATCTACATTTTATTTTTGTGTCACACTATGATCAAATTCTGTTTTAATATAATTCTACAGCTGGAATGTAGGTATAATTTCCACTGAGTAGCTGAATCTTTCCTGGGATCTGATTTCTGAGTTCTGACGCTGCAAATATGAACAGTTTCACAGAATTCATAATAATTGCAACAATTACACGGGGTATAACACTGTACAGCCCCCTACGAAGAAAATACCTACTCAGGGCACATATTTCTGTGTTTTTATCATGGCTAACCGCTAAAGCTATAAAGTTACAAATAATTGTGGTTAGGTTACTAGGTTGCTAGGTTACTAGGTTGCTAGGTTACTAGGTTACTAAGTCACTAGGTTACCAGGTTACTAGGTTACTAGGTTACTAGGTTACTAGGTTACTAGGTTACTAAGTTACTAAGTTACTTGGTTACTAGGTTACTACTTTACTAGGTTACTTGGTTACTAGGTTACCAGGTTACTAGGTTACTAGGTTACTAGGTTACTAGGTTACTAGGTTACTAGGTTACTAGGTTACTAGGTTACTAGGTTATTAGGTTACTAAGTTACCTTCAGTGTCTGCAACCTCTTGAAACTGGACCCGTGATGACTGTTTCTGTACTCTTAACTTCTCATCGTCTCCAGCTCCTGGTGATTCCATTATTTGATGATTCTCACAAGAAAATTATTTTTTCAAACCAACAGATCCAGCACTTAGTCTATTCATAAAAACCAAACATTTCCTCGAAAGATTCGAACAATTTTAAAAACAAATAGTTTTAAGCGCATTGCTAATAGATCAGAGCATTGGTAATTTATTAGGTTCGGAAATTATTACAAATAACACCATAAAGTTAAAATCACAAATTGTCACTAATATTGATACTAATTACATAATTACACTAATTAAATAATTGCATAATTACACTTATTACATAATTACATAATTAATATGAATTTACCGTTAGTTTCTTGTAATGCTAGTTGGAGATCTTCGGTGTTAATGGCAACGTCTGAGTCCTCTACTACTGCCTGTGATAATTAGGTATAATTAGTAAATTAGTAACTGGTAATTATGTATTAGTTACTGGTTCTAATTAGTAACTGGTAATTAGGTATTAGGAAATGGTAATTGGGTATGAGTAACTGTTACTAATTTTCATTATATTGTACTTAATCTTCATAGATTAGTTCATAATTATCATCATCAAGTTTCTATCAATTGAGGACGTTTCCAGGTAGTAATTTCAAATTTGAGCTGATTAATTTAAGGTTTAATCTAGAAAGAGAAGACAATATAATGGAGGTAGCGCACTCGTTTCAAGGTAATTTCAAGATTTAATCTAGGACCTCCATTTGTGACGCCTCTATAAAGCTAAAACGGGTTAATTTAACGGGATATTTGGTAACTCTCTAATAACTTGA